TCTCTCTCTCTCTCTCTCTCTCTCTCTCTCTCTCTCTCTCTCTCACACACACACACACACACACACACACACACACACACACACACACACACTTGCCTGCATATCAGCTAGTGAGTGGAAAACAGCTATATCTCCTTTCATTCTTTCTGTAGCATTGGCTCCAAAGTCATGAAGCCTATATTGAACCTACAGAAAACTGGATAGGAAGTGATTAACATTCCTGCTGACCAGCTGATGTTTCCTGGAATCGTGTAAAAGGAAGTTCCAGGGCTTGGCTGAGTGGGGGCGCTTTTCCATACCAGCCGCAGCCAAGTCGGAGCTCACACTTCCAAGGGGTGCACACTACCAGGGGATACAAAGCTTTTCACTGAAGACACTCTGATAACAATCCCGGCGCTAACAGGGCCGTGCGGTCTGCAGAAGGCGAGATTGAGAAGACAGTACGCTCTGTTTGGAAGCAAGTGGAGGCAGTAAGAGGGAACCCGCCAGGGTGGAGGTCCACAGAACGTGGCAGACGCACATTCTGCAGGGGCCTTATGTGGGGACAATCCTCTAGGCCGCTGTGGGAAGAAACAGGGGTTTGCTGGCAGAATCCTGCAGAGGTTACCTCACAGAAGTGTCTGAATACCTCGTGCATGTGGCTTTGGCCATTATTTTCTACATCATATGCCTTTGTCATTTTTGTAAATGCCCAGGTGGGAGAAGCTGCCTGGACAGAGGATCTAATGAGGGACTCGGAGAGGCCTGGGGAGCAGGCATGGCCTCTCTCTATTCAGAGCCTTCTGATGATGGGATTCACTTCTGCCTGTGACACACACACAAGACACTAAATGTGAGCCTGAAAGAGACAGAGGAGAAGACAGTCCGGCTCCAAATGCGTGATCTCTACAAGGCATTTCATGGGCATTTCATTTCATCTGCCGTCCTCACAGGAGCTCTGCAAACTGGGCCACCTCCTCATACTGATAAGAACAGTGAGACTAGCAGGAGGAGCCACCTCGGCTGACAGGAGAGCTGGGAAATTATGAGTCTGGACTCCGTATGCTGCTGTCTGCCAATCCTGTGTGTAGTTCCTGGGGACCTGTAACAGGTCGCTGCTGACTGTTCAGCTGCTCGGGGCCTGTTCCTTCACACCTGCTCCAGCACACCCCCTCCAAAGAGGCTCTGCAGTGAAGAGGGCTGGCGACACCTACGTCAGGTGTATCTCCCAGCAAAACCCTCTGAAGGCAGCGCATCTTCCCTAGCAGCCACCTCTCCACGTTAGTGACAATTGTGCAGCAGCCGAGTCTAAAGAATTCTCTAGAAGACAAGAACAATGCCTTCCTGCTTCTTCCCGACAGTTCACACACACTTATCCAGTTTACTGCCTGTTTTTTCAAGGAAGAAAGCTGTGGTGATGTGAAAGAAAATGGCCCCGGAAGGAAGAGGCACTGTTAAAAGGTGTGGCCTTGTTGGAGGAAGTGTGTCACGGTGGGGGCGGATTTTGTGGTCTCTTTTGCTTAAGCTTCCCTCAGTGTGACAATCAGTTGACTTCCTGTTGCCTGCAAGATGTAGGACTCTCGGCTCCTTCTCCAGCACCTCGTCTGCCTATGTGCCTCCATGCTCCTTCCCACCATGATGATAATTGCCTGAACCCCTGAAACTGTAAGCGAGACCCCCAAATTAAATTTTTTCCTTTTAAGAGTTGCCATGGTCATGGCGTCTCCTCACAGCAATAGTAACCCTAAGTAAGACAGACATAGAGACCCTCAGACACTGAGGGAGTTGTCATAGCACACACATCCTGTGGCACAGGATCACTGAAACTACTGATTTCTCAACGGTGCAGCTGACCCAGCTCTCCCCAGATGAGCTCCTCCTCCTCCTCCCTGGAGAATTGAAGTTGTGCTCCCAGCAGCCACCGGGCCAATCAGTCCCGAGATCTATCTTTCAGATACCCAGAAGGCTGCCCACCCCTCTGGAGATTCTGTCCCATCTGGTCCCCAATGACTGGAACTTGCTTTAGCACTGGAACGAGTCCTTTCATTCTGTACGTAAAGACACAATAAAATGCAAATACCCCTACAAAAGAGGGCAACAGTTGTCTTAAATTTTGACTAAAGGAAAACTGATGAATAGGTCACCTCAGTGAGCTTAGGAGTCGGCGAGAGCTGAGTTAAAGCCTCACTTCAGCTGATGTGAGGCTGTGTGGTTCTCAGTTTGTCACATTACCACAATGAGCACAGATTCCCCCAGCAACAAAATAAGAATTAGGCTATTTACCATCGGCGGTTGGGGAGGGCGGGGTTGCGGCACGTAAGAATTGCATGAGAAGTGCCTGGTTCAATGTCTGGCACAAGGCATACATCTTTAAATGACAGGCATTCCTTTTCCAATCACCACAGCTCCTCAGTGTTTGCAGTCCTACAGTACAGTGCGCAGAAGACACAGCAATGCTCCTTGGGAAGACCTGGTCAGCTGCAGCACCATCGACTCA